ATGTCCAATTTATCAATATCATATTTCCGCTTAAAATCCGCAAAAATGCAATTTCGCGAACTTACAATGTATCTATGTTCAGCATATTGTTTTCCCTTAGGGCGCGTTCCCACTACATCGTGACGACAATATACAGGGTGGAAATTTGTAATGCCACCTGGAGGGAAAGTACTCTAAATCCTATGCGAGTGTAAACAAGTTGAAGGCTGAGGTTGAGAATACGATTTGTAATATAATTTATCACAACACGTTATTAAAAGTTACTCAAAATGAATTCGTTAAAAGATTAAATTTGTGTATCCAAGAAAATGGAGCTCATTTCGAGCAACTAATTAGTTAGATTGCCATTTTTTTCGTTTTTATTAAAATACGTTAAGATTTCATGTTTTTTTTTTTTCATTTACCAATTTTGTGAGAGAGATTTTATTCTTATAATTAACCCCATCGATCGATCCAGTAAAAGTGAAGGGTGCATTTTTTTCAGGTTAAAGCGGGCTCGATTCCCGCGTGTTGCTAAAAATTTTCGAAAATCTATGATTGCCGTTTTATTTTTTTTTAAAAATGAAGGAATATTTCCTTTAAGTAAAAATTTCTATCTCCAGTATTTTAAGTACTTTCCCTCTAGGTGGCATTACAAATTTCCACCCTGTATATATATATCCATTTTATTTATTTATGGATACACAAGCTACGACATTTTATGCTGCACGACTATCTGTCGTCACGACATAATCGGAACGCGCCCTTATTTGTGACTACGGTTATTAGCATAAAAAAAAAAACAAGCGAATAAGAATACCGGACCGAATAGACGGACTTTAGTTAAAACGCAACACTGCGGCGGAAAACGAAAGCATCAAAGCTAGCGTAATGTTTTTTTACCATAAGCGACTGCCTCGCGGTTGGCACTGGCATAGGCACGTATTAATACTTTCATTATAGATAATAACAGGTTACTCAGAATAAGGCCGCCCGCTGGCACGCAAAAAGTTAATTTAGACTTTATTTAGGCTAAATTAAGATTCTCAATGCCTTTTATAAGCCTAAAGGCTAGGCTTTTATATTTCTGGTACAATAAACCTAAATGTATTGACTTTTAGTATTGAATGCAAAGCCAGAAATATTAAATGGAGGTGTGTTCTTTTTACTTTCAAGGTAGTCCAGCTAAGCTAAATACATGACCTATATTCACATTAAAAGGCCTTTACAAAACCAACAAACCACTCTTTAAATAGAAAAAGTTGTATAGTACAGTATGGAACAATTACAATTAAAAAAAAACCGGGTTCTAAATGCCGTGCAGATGTTTTTTGTTTTTTTTTTTGTACTATCAAGTGACGGGACGAACAAGCCGCGCGCCTGATAATAAACTACATGCCTGTCCGTAACTGTTCCAGTGCCACTCAGAGCCTTAAATTGCAAAGACCTGAGGGGCACTGCTATTGCGCCCGTCGTCACCCTGAGACATAAGGTGACAAGTCCCATGTGCCTGTAATTTCACCAGTACCTTTACCGTTCAAAACCGTAATGCTGACATTACTGCTTGGCGGCAGAAATAGGTAAGGTGGCAGTACTTGCCAGTACAAACTCTTTCACAAGGAACTCCACTGCTTCTAAAACAACATCTATCTGCTAAGTTTTATTGAAATCGGCTAGTGGAAAGTGGGTGAAATCCAATACGGATTCATCCCTTGGTTTCCCACCCTTAGAGGAGGAATATTTTCTTCAAAATTTGATTTTCCGTTTATAAAGTCGGTTAAATATAAAATACCAAATAACCTATCAAAAAGTATTTGAACATAAAAAAACAGAAGAGAGATAAGAGGCATTTGCAAAAGCACCTCAACGCTATGAGCAACTTGTAGTGTTTATTTGATTACGGTATTGTGGTCGAACGAGGAAACAGAGCGAAGCATGCAAATTACACGGATACGGAGCCATAATGTACCTGTACGATGAGTTTATAAAGTCGATTGTCGACTGCGACCTAGTAATTCTATCAAAATTTGTATTGCTAGGTAGCTGTTATCAACACTGTACATTCATTGGACAGGAAAGGGCAACAGTCTAAAAGATGAAAGACATATTCTGCATTCGAGGCACAACTAACATTGTATTATTAAAATTAAGCTATCCAATTTTTTTGTACAAATCTAACTCAATTGGATATACAGTTAACTGCCTCTGTGGCCGAACGGTTACCATGCCGGACTGCCACGCAGAGGTCCCAGGTTCGATTCCCGGGCCGGGAGAAATATTTGTATGGCCTACATTTATTTCTCTCGTGAGTTTGGTTGTAATTTGTGGTTGTCTATGTGTGTCCATGGCACCCGCGACACAGGGTTTCCCTAGTGCGGGGCTATGTTGAGTGTGTGCGTTATTATTAAACAGTAAATTTTGAACGCAGAATTTTTTTTGCTCAACATAATTTAAACTTTTTTTTACCAGAAAAATGTAAACCACATTAAAAATCTCTGATTTTATAATTTGCTGCTTGTGTGTTGCTTTCTTTCGAGGACAATAATTTATTGAACATTTACATGCAAAAAATGGCCGCACTTTATACGTTCCAAGACCTTGGAGCTTAGTAAATAAAGTCAAGAAAATACTACAGTCAGCCGTAATCATGGGATTTGTAAAGAGCCGAAACGTCGGTTCGTTTGAAACCACCGTCGACATAAATAAAAACTTAGGTATTTTGGACTGAGGGCTACACCCACAAATATTGAAGTAACTTCACCGTTATGTACTCATATCTAGAACGGTTTTGGAATAGCTATATACATGTAGGCGATGGAAATCGTAATTATTTTTAGTCGATGTAATTTTAAAAAAAATAAACAATAATTGAGATCACCTGTCATCTGTTATATTTATTCTTCTTCTTCAAACGTCGTCGTTTAGAAATAATATCTATTCGCACTAAGCTTCGTTCGTAATTGTAAATATTTATTTTAACACTACAATCGCGAAAACATAAGAACTTGTAAAGAAAATTCTAAGTTGTGATTCCTTGTTTGTTTTCAAGTGTTAGTTCACAGTAAAGACATTAAATCTAAGATAAGGTTAGAACATTACAGATATATTCGCTGACTCTCAAATTAGGATAGCTTGTGACATGAGAGACAGTGGTCCTCCGTATCATAATTAACAACCTTACTACAAAAAAGAGTTACATTATAACTAGGTTTATTGTATTAAATTGTAAACAGAGAATAAGAAATGAAAAGTAAAATATAATAATAATGTAAAAGAAAAAAAAAAGGAAATTGAACAAAAAATTGTATGGCCTACACTTATTTCTCTTGTGAGTTTGGATGTAATTTATGGTTGTCTATGTCTGTTCCTTAGTGCGGGGCAATGTTGAATGTGTGCGTTATTATTATTATTAACTCATTAAATGATTTTATCATTACATAACTTTTTTATAAAAAAAACGACCTCACGAAAAACCTCACGAAAAAGTCCGTGGAATTACATCTATTTGCCAAGTTTTATTGAAATCGGTGACCGGAAAGTGCGCGAAACCGGATTCATCCCCTAGTTTGCCACCCTAACAGGTGGAATATTTTCTTCGAATTTAAATGGGACCAACGACCAAATGAGAGACCCTCTTTCTAATAAAAAAGTCATCAAAATCGGTTCACAATTGCTGGAGTAATCCTATAACAAACACACAAAAAAAACAGTCCAATTAAGAACCTTCTCCTTTTTTTAAAGTCGGTTAAAATACAAACGAAACCAGAAAGTAATGAAATCTTAAAATGAATAAATTGTTAAATTGACATTTAGGCACAATAGATTGTAGAAGGCAGGTATTGTTGTACCACCACAGCGGTCCTCAACCATTTCAACTTTCAAGATTACTTTTCAACTTCCCGCGTAAGTTGTTGTTAAATCACAAAATAGCATTTTCTACTTGTAAAACAAAAGCAAGCACTGCTGTTCAAACTGTGGCCAAATCTCATACAAAAGTCAATGTCGTATTTATTTATAGACACAATGAAATAGTATAGCCAATTAATATAGCTATTGTTAGAGTTATTCAATAGGTTATCTATTAAAACGCGAAAACATACTGAAACGAAGGTTATCGAACGTAGATAGAACTTAACAATAAAGATGTTTACAATTTCCTAGGCTTCATTTCAATTGTTTATTTTAGAAGTCATAGAGAAATCTTGCAATGCCAGGGAGGTGTTGAAACAAAAGGTCGATTTACAATTGCGTAATCTTTATATAATTACTTTCATTTGATGGAACATTTTAGTAAGTAATTATTGATGAAATGCGGCGCGGTGTCCCTCTCTTAGAAAATAAGCTAATTCGCCCACTTTATAATGAATAATAATAATAATAGTGCGTCATTCTCCTATCACAATCACACCGCTTACTGGAATTCCTTCCGGGGCCCTATCCAGAACACTTAGATCAGAACCAATTTAAAAACTCTCCTTTCCCAAATTAGTCCTACCGGGAAGCGAATCCGCGACCAATGCTCATAGGGCAAAGCCAATTTCGACTAACAAAAGTGCCAATTGCGGTTCAGAGTACCACGTTCTGTTGTGATATAATGTCACTTTTATTTTTTTTATTTTTTTATTATTATTAAATGTGTCACATGACAAGTCCCATGTGCCTGTAATTTCACCAGCCTCTCTGCACAATGAACCATTTCTTTCCTGTACGTTTGGCGCATTCTGAGCAACATTCTGCGAGTACCTTACAGCGATGGACAAATCCTTTCACAACTATAGCAAGCATTAATAGTGTATACCATCGAAACGATAAGAAAAAAATGTTAATAGATTGTTGAGAAACATTGGTTTTATTCGCCAGGTACGTTTCGTGTGTGTGCGTGTACGCGTACACCAAGGCAACTTTTACAGTTAAGCTATCCTGAGGATTAAAGATGACTGACCAGTCATTGTTAAAAATTAAAAATTTGAACGTAGATTCATATTGTATATGTTAAGGTGTGCAACAATTATTGTACTAACCATGATTGAGCCGGAACTTGCGGTGCTTCTCCATGACGGATGGTTCGACTAACAAGGCGATCTCGTCGAGTGTCAGCGCGGCACCTACGCGGCATCTTGCGTCAGGACAGGATACTTCGTATGCACCGTTGCATACTTCGAACTCCACGTACGCTGCCATACACTGTAACAAGGGAAATGTTTTTATTGCAAATTATTTAGAGGTGATAATGCTGTAATTAGGACAGTGGTCGAAAAGGTCTGTACTGATATCGAGAAACAAAATAGAGGTCACTCATTTCTCCGCTTCATGTATAATGGTCCAAATCGAAAAAGTTACTTTTTACTTTTTATATTCAAAATGTGCTAAATTTTAATATAAATATATGCTTAACTAGCATTGGATTATAAGTTTCCATTTGGGTAATTTAGTGGCCAAATCAAATCCGCGTTAATTCAAACATAAATTGATGCTTGCTGTGCAAAAATGAAATTCGTAGCCATTGAAATAACAAAGTAATAACGTTAAATCCCTCTCCTGTGAAATTTGGTTTAGTACAGGTACGCACCTTTTATCAATACTACATACATACGCGGATTTAAATTATCCCCGACGATAAGCTTCTTTTGATTAAAATAATAAAGTTATAATATTTTGAATGCCTCCGTTGTTTTTAAACAGGATACGATATGAATTTGATATTTTCGTGACAGGCTGTTATTCAAGAAAGCTACCGACAAAACATCTGTTCAGTACAAGGAGAACCTAGATGTGTTAAAGGTGAAATGATGTTTATAATTTGTAGAGCATGCTGCCACCTTTTTTTATATGATACCCATTGACCAAGTGGGCTAGCACGGTAAGGCGCCACTTGCGCGAGAGCGACATAAAGCGCGAGATCTCTATGCGAGAATAGCAGTATCTATCGTGCTACCCAACAAAATGAACAAATCGTGCACCTGCGGTAAGCGTTACGCCTGCCCATAGCAGAACGTTTGCGTTAAAGTTTTTATTTAGATCTTAATTATTATGTTCATAAGTTTTAAATTAAAATCTTAATGCAAAAGCGATAGTTAAATTTACATATTTCAAAATTTACACTAAGGCCCCAGAGCTTTAACTCGCAAAGATCTGAGGGGCACTGCCACTACGCCCATCACTCTGAGATGTAAGTTGAAACCTTTCAAAACCGAAACGCAGCAATGCTCACATTACAGCTCGGTTACAATACTTCCTAGGATGAATTTTTGCGTTAAGAACTACTACTACTAAATATATTAAGTGCATAAAAGCAATTCCACGAAATGCCTTTCTTCGTGGATTATAACAATAACTTCTTCGCGATAAAATTTAACGACCTAAGTGTCCCGACGATTTGCACTCGGGCCCGATTGCCATTAGGACGAATTTGGCAAATGAACTTTTCTAAATTGTCTTCTGTTGATACTCATGTACAAGAAATCTCTTGGTTTAAGACCTGGTAATTGGTATGGTTGCTTAGCTCTTAACCCAGAATATACAGGATGCGTAGCCCAGGGCTCCAAGTCTGCTAATTTTAAATCATCTCAGTTGTGCGTCGACGAAGTGTCTTGTTATTTATAATAAACACCAAGTGAGGGAACAAATAAGTCGTGCGCCTGGTGATCAGCGACACGCCTATCCACAGCAGTTACAGTACCACTCAGAGCTTTCAGTTGCAAATATTAGAAGCTTGGTATCAGGCGCACGGCTTGTTCGTCCCATCACTTAATATTAAAAAAAAACAACGCTGGTTTTCATGGTGTCACCATCTCTGAAGTCCCGGGTCACTGTAGAAGAACTAACTTTTCTATTTTGTCTCGGGTCTGGGTGTTTATGGTACCGCCATTGGTTCCGATTTCCTCAAGTGCTTTAGCTACTTACTTCGGGATCAGATCAACGTATGAGATGTTGCCTGATATCCAATATTCAAAGTATTCTCGCGTCGATTGCTTCATGGCACTCTTACGGAAGAAGTTAACGTCTTTATTGAGCAGAAGACGTGGCAGCAGCAACGGCATCCTAAATACAATGGCGGCTAGGAGTGAGTGTCCCTTAATGGGGCATTTAATAACAAGCAGAAAATTCTTAGTACAATTTAAGTATTAGCATAATTATAAGATTATTGTTAATAAACGTTATGGATTTCTGTTGTCCGTGATAAATATATATGAGGCAAGATGACAGATGGAGTAAAGCGATAACAGAGTAGCGTCCAAAGACTGGATACAGGAACGTCGGGCGTCTAGCTGCGAGATGGGCAGACGCCATCGCAAAAAATTTTGGGGGTTAACCTGAATGAGCAGTGGACCGTGGGGAGTGGCACATAAACTTGGAGACCTATACCCAGCTGTGGGTGAAGTCAGGGTGTATATGATGATGATAATGAATCATCACACCTCTGTCAATCTTCTGGTAGCTGTAAAAATACCTGGCTGAGTAATTAAACTTTCATAAGGTCTCAAAACTGGCACTACGGCATAAAAGCCGTTTAAAAAACCAAATACAAAGATCCACAATTAGCACATAGAGAAATTCGAAGGATCTGCTGGTTTCCTCGTTGGTTACGTTGAAGAAACAGTCACTGGTTTCAGTCCAGTCGGGTAAAAGGAATGTTTTCTTTGAATTAAGAAGGGTAATTATCAAAAGCAAGTCACAATGACTTCTTTACAAAAAAACTGTTCTCAAAAGTTCGTGGAAGTACATATTTCTGCCAAGTTTTATTAAAAGCGGTGACCGGAAAGTGCGCGAAACCGGATACATCCCCTAGTTTGCCACCATTAGAGGTGGAATATTTTCTTCAAATTTAAATGGGACTAATACTGAGGTACCCTCTTTTCAAAAAAATAATCATCAAAAAAAAATCGTTTCACAAATCGCGTGTATGTTACACACAAAAAAAATACAGTCGAGTTCAGAATCTCCTCCTTTTTTTGTAGTCTGTTAAAAACAAGGTAGGTGTGTAACATAATAATCTTATTATTATCGTCAATCTTGACAATTGATACCTTATTGCAATCACAAAGTATTCTGCTTCCTTCTTTTATTCTATAACACAAAGAATGTGTGTTACGACGGACCACATTACTGATACTGGTAATCGCGAGTTTAGACAGATGGCTATTAGAAATCCCAATTAAGCCTAGATTAAACCTGTAGAATCTACTTTCTAAACGTTAGGCGTATAGCGTAAAATCTAGGTAGATGCTTGATGACTGTTCTAAGATATTTCTTAGAAAGGTAAGACGCTTTCCCAATTTACAATGTAATCCGCGCTAGTCAACAAGACTAGACGGGTTTTATTTTTAAGCCCCGGCTGCAAAAAGAGGTGAGAATTCGAAGCCTTTGTTCGCGCATCTGTGGTATTCCACACTCTTCGCAGGTTTCCCAAGGGTTGTGCCTCGTTGTCTACATAATAATTTCATTAGGACGACGTTAGCCTTCACTAAAAGTATTGCTAGTAAACATTAGTTTTGACTTCTCAATTAAAACGTTACAGTCGTCCTCACACTAGGCTACCGCCGCTCTCTCGCTTTACCTACTCGCAGCAAAGCCATTTACTATAAAAACATTTAAGTGGTTTGCGAAGTTTTTTCAAAATTGATTCGTACTTGAACACAATTATCTAGGCCAAGGAAAAGGCTGAAAATATTATATATAAATAACACTTATCTAATTATTTACAGTCATTTGGCAAAGTAATTTTCAATTACGCAACATCATACTCTGAGTTATCAAGCAAATTAAGATCTATTACTATTAAGCCTTTTCAAGGTTCGAAAGGTCACTTGTAACTATGTGAATTTGACGTAATTATAAATATTAATCAGTTACTAACAACGTAACACGCATGCCACATTTATGATGTTATTATATCGTATCTCTCCCTATTAACTGTCGTGTCTGACAATTTTATTGTAGTAACACCACAGTGTAATGAGACAATTATAGTGTAACTCCATATGGCTGCCTAACTGCCTAGTTAATTGTCAAAAAAGGGTCATCAAAAGGAAACAACCGATGTATGACAAACATGTATTAAATACTAACATTTACAAAAAAATTGCATTATACATTGGTTTGAAGTGCAAAACGCTTGCGTGTTACATTCACGCCATTTATTGACATTTTGGAGTAAACACCATACAAATGTAGCAGAAGGGCTCGTATGTGTACACTCCGCGTGTCGTGTACGGACGCACACATTCGCATAATCTCGCAGCGCACTCGCGTTGGACAGCGAGTTACACACGCCATTCATTACAGAATCGAAGTATTTGCGTGGTGTTTGAAAAAATGACATCAAAACTCGGCGTGCAAGCTGTTGTTTAGAGATTATTTAAAAATCATACTTCCACAACCGAAATACTAATTCGCTATGCTAACATATACATATCATTATCTACGTACTGCATTTGACAAGGGTAATTTCAATACAGAACGCGAATACCGTGATGAGTACCTTAATGTTTTGCAGTCCGTAGGTTTAACAAAAACCCTGGTGACTATATTTACGCTACAACAGTGCTCTCTTACTACACTGTTCAGCATTCTGTCTTTTAAGAGTAACACAACACGTACTGCTAAATATCTTGCAGCTTATTACTGACGAGGTTAGAATGATGTAAAAAAAAATAGAATGAAGGGCCAGGACAACAAGAGCAATCACAAGAAAATTTAGGGCTTATTGAAAACCAGCGCCACGATCTATTTATGGTTGTGGCATACGGTGAATGAGGTCTTTTTGCGTACAAATGACAGATTTGTAGTAGTTCTATTTTGTTTATTGCTTTTTGACTGTGCTTTATGTTTGCTTTACCTTATGTTGTTTTTTTTCCTGTTTGGTATTCTTTATTTTAGTTTTCAATTCTTTCTATTTTGTTTTGTTTGTTTAAGTAATATTATTCTCTTGTTTGTATGTATGTGTTGTGGTGTTCCAATAAATGTCTATTCTATTCTATATCTATTCTAAATGCCTTAGGTTTGCAAATGTCTATACGCAACGGTTATCACTTTCCATCAGGTGGTTCGGTATGCGTGTTTGAATACCATAAAAAATCTACTTGAGGCCATAATGTACTATCATCATAGCACATCGCTGATAATTGCGGAACACCTGCCATGTAACAAAAATAATCTACGCTGCCAAACATTACAATTTTCTA